CAAAGATTAAAACTCTATGATCGTAACAAATATTACTTTAAACCTTTACAATACTGGACAATGTAGAACATTTAGTTAAACCCTTATAAATAGTATGTTATAGTAACATTATTATAGAATTATTTAATATTATGTTTACAGGCAAACGTATCCATCGGGACACGACTAATTTTCGTTTTCCATATGGTCGGTAGTTTTATCCATATAATTATCTTCACCTACAGTTGCCATTGCTTAATAGAGGAAAGTGTGAACATTAGCTTGGCAACGTATTCAGGCTGGTGGACAATGCTGCCGATGACCAAGACTGGTAGAATGATACGAAAAGATATGAATATAATGATGATGAAGTCGATACGACCGTGTTACTTATCCGCCGCTGGATTCTTCCCTGTGTCTTTGGAAACATCTACTGCGGTACGTGATATATTTATTACTCCACGTCCTATTTTATTCATTATATACCATTTTTATAGTAAATAACACCACGATAAATACCATTTTAATAATAAGCAATGAATAAATTTTCAGATGAAGTTCACGATGGTAAATTCAAACTTTTTGTTACAGCTTATGAGTTCTACAGTGTCATATTTCACGCTCATGAGAGAATCATCCACGAGAGAGTGACAGACAAATAATTCATATCGTATAACATATCGATGGATTTACGTGATAAAAATATTTCAATTATTCATTTACAGACAAACTGTGTTTCAGTAACGATGGAAATAAAGTTATCCAAGCGATTACGTGGGGCAAAATTTTATATAGAATATGAAAAATTCACAGATACTCCAATCTAGCAAATAATACATAAAACTTTGCTATTTTAAATATTAATTGGTTATTAATATTTAAATTAATAATAATATTGTTATAATACTATAACATTACAATTTTAATATTACTTATAATATTATATAGTAGGCATTATAATAAATATTATTATATCAACAGGTAAATATCATTAGTATTATATCAACAGGTAAATATCATTAGTATTATAATAATAATACTAATGATTTATTATCAAAAGTATATTAAAAATTTGATTTCATTTTGTAAGCAATATAATTCACCACAGGTAATAAAATTTAACGATACGTTTTTATCGCAAGAATAAACAAATTTGTAAAACCTTCCAAAATAAATTTACCTGAAGTTTTATCAAAATGTAATCTTAACGAATGATCAACTTGACATGTTGCAACTACCAGTCTAAATTTTTGTATATACGTAATGCCCATCTGTCTCATTTAGTGTTTCCCAAATATAAACTATGCGAATTGTTACTTACATTAGCAAAAGATTGCGAATAGTCGTACACACGTTTATCATTTGCACTTTCACTTCCTTTGCTCAGAGAACAATTGTCGATTTCGTAGTAAAACCAACTTTGGACCAGATGTTTACGTAGTATTACGATGTATTAGTCTGTGAAAAATAAGAAAAATTATCGGAATAGCTGAATATCGGTGTGACAAAATGATATTCAAGAAATTATTATGATTCTGCATAAAAACGTACTTTTAGGATACGTGTATATTCCCTCACGACACATATAATGTCCAGCATGCGACTTGATAAGAATTTGATCAATAATCTTTTAATATATTTATGAGAGATTTGAGTCTATTTCTTTTGAATAAGTACATATTCTCAAATTGTTTTCATACACATCTGTCGTTAGATAGTTACGTTAAAATCAGGAAATCTCGCCGGTTGTTCCAGAATACGAATATTTTTTTACATTAAAATCGTCATGGAAATGTTTAGAAAAATAATGTTAAACGCACACGAAAAAATAGACATACAATATTGTA